GGGGGGGGGGGGGGGCGAGCGAGTGAGGGAGAGGAAAAGCGCAGACGGACTACTTGCAGAGAGAGAGAAAACAAAGGTGGAGACAAAGCAAGGACACTATGCACGTAAAATAAAGAGAAAAACAAACGAAAGCAACACAAAACTGTAGCCAGAATAAAAAACAACAATAACGAACGAGAGTCTAGCTCCACAACGATCCAAACACGAATCGTTGTCGGCCTCTACAATACGGCATTCCACATTTACATCCCGGCACTGGTACCGTCCACATACACCGGTTGGTTCAGGGTTGTCCTCAACTGTTCTTCCCCCATATAGTCCGACGTGAGCGTGGGTTGCAGAAAGAGCTTGCCGTCCTCCACGTAAGAGTTGGTCCGGTTGTTGCCTGGGTGGCGGGCGCAAGCGTATCATGTAGCGGAGGGATCATCGCCAGTGGCAGTCAGTCGAGGCCAAAAAGCAACACACACAGAGAGAAGAGCAGCAAGCATGCCCAGCAGCAGCGAGAGCAACAGCAAGCAAGCAAGCAAGCACATCGACGACGAGTCGGGAGCAACGAACGCAACACAATCGCTCAAGGTTGAGAGATATCACGCCATCATCCCGCCAAACAAAAAACATATTGCTGGGCTTTGCACCCCACCCGTCCTCCCGCGCCCGCTGCCCCGCTTACCTTTCAGAAAAACAGCGCGGCGAGACACCGAGGTTGTGTCTCTCTACCCCTTTGCGTTTGGAACTCGCGGTTTTCTCTTGCTGCCCCCCCCTTGCGCCCTACCGCAACTGATGTATCGGGAAACAGTGCACTCCGAACGCTGACACAGGTGTTTGTGACCTTGGACTTTTCGTTTCCAGGCCGATCTCCCTGCCCCCCTCCCACAGAAGAAAAATAAATAACTACTAGATGGCTTTTCTCACCGTACATCTGGAACTCCCAGTTCCCTCCTCCTCCCTGAAAAAGAAGAACCGGACGCCATCGCGAGAGAGAGGGTGCAAGGATAAGCAATGGGGGTAAGGAAACACTGTTGGGGGGTGGTGGTCCCACCGGAATCGCGGCCGAGCGAGAGGGTCTGGACGGGGAAAGAGGGACGTGCGGGTCCCCCGAACCCCGGGTGCTCGCGACAAACTTTCTTGGGTCGCTTTCCTTGAAGTTGCAGGTAACCGCTGTTGTGCCTAAGGCACTCTTGCCAGATACAGAGACCGCCCGCATCCGAAAACTTCCTCTCTCTCTCTCTCTCTCTCTCTCTCTCTCTCTCGTACGCGAGTTTGCAGCCTACCTCCCCCGGCTCTCTGCCATCTGTTGTGTCTCGAACGTCGAACAAAAATAACGTAAGCACTCGCTGCTGCAGTGGTCGTGCCGGACTTCTGCCACACTGTGCAGAAGGAGCTACTGAGAGAATTCCGGCAACCACGTTATGCCACGTTGTTGTTCATGCCATCTCTTGCCCCCCTTTCGATAGGTTGCCTCATCTGTTTGTATCCATCTGTCAGTCTATCTGCCTCTCTGTCTCTCGTCTATCCCTGTCTGCCTTTTCTCGCTCCTCCCACCGCCGTTCACCACACGCTTATCCCCCCACCGCTGCTCGCACTACTATCTGCTCACCATGGTGATCTCGTGTTGCCAAAGATCAAGGTTGAAGCTGTCAAATTCTTCGTTGAGGATGAGCGTTTCTTCTGCTTGATTCAAGGACAAAACAGGCGACGAACAACGAGCACGTAGGCGTAAGATTTAACCAACCAGGGCAGCTATTTTTCTAGCGACATGAAACAACGATGGGAACATTGCATCTTTCCGAAGATGTGCGGATGAACCGTACTCCGTATTTCGGAGACCGTGGGATCTCTGCGGACCCCTCCGAAGAGGTTAAAAGACCAATGCTTAGGACCGTTTCGATTACGACGGGAACTCCGGAGACCACTGACGGGTACATGCATCGTCCATACGCCATGTTGCTTGGAAGAGCAGCCGGGCGGACCACTCGTGGCAACACCGGGCTCACTCGCGTTCTGGACCCTCTCTCCTCGCCCAAATACTAGCGGACAACTGCCCCCCCCCGCGGTGGCGACGGCTACTACACGGGATGCCAGAACGTGGTTCGCTCTTCTTTTTTCCTGCCTAGACTATTCCTTGACCTTCGGGGCTCGTTCAACCCACACATCTGTCACCCGAACTCATTGGATGTCCATGACACGACGACACAATAGCGGCGGGGGTGACAAAAAGAGGTCTCCCCGAAGGGCGACAAGCCGCACACACAGCACACCACGGCGTCCAGGAACGGCAAGAACAGGTCCAAGCCTCTAGAGCCGAAACACCCAGCAGAGCCACATGGGGCTCACATCCGTGTTCTCCTCTCCCCCGAGAATCTCCCCGACACAATAGAAAAGCACACCAGAACCCACAGAACACCACAGACCATCTACCCCACCCCAAAAGTGCCAACCGCTTCGTCAGCGTAGGTACACGTGCTATCGTCTGTACTTACGAGAGGCACAATGGCTGGTGAACACGAAAAACAGCGAGACAACACCGCGTTGCGTTGCGGAATTTCGAGGCGCATTCTTGATCGGTGAAGACAACGACGATGCTACGTACTACCGCTCCTGTCCCGCTCTCAGCCAAGCGCACGAGCGGTGCACGTCAGCCGAACAGAAAGGAAGATTGGATGTTTGACCGCAACACGTCGCCGATGAGCACACACAGGAAAAAGGCACCGGGAAAGATCTCGCACGTACATAGAGCGGATCGACCAACACAGGCATCGATGGACCCGCGAATAATTACGCCGTTAAGCTCTGAGCCCCCCGTGCCTCAAAACCTACCTTCCAGGCGGTGCGGGTTGACACCTCTCCGCGAGGCGCCGCCGCCTTTTCCGGCGGGCTCTCCCAGCGCTACACCCGCAAGTAGAACCAGGAGCAACCCCCTGCCCAAGTATGAAGACCCGTAAGAATGTCACAGTTAATTGGACGCGTGGGGGGTGGGTTAGGGATGGTGAGCTGTACTTGAAAGAGCCACGCAGAGGGGCGTGAATAACATTTTTTTTTTTTTTTTTACAATGCACTGCTGTGGAACAGGTCTATGTATCTGCTTCGCGCGAAAAGACATTGGGTAGTTGTTTGGGATGAGTAGGTCGGGGTGGAGAGGACGCGCAGCGAATGTCCGAGATCCTTCGGGAGACCGAAGAAAGAATCGAAGGAGAGGACTGCCCACGAACACGAGGTTGAGGCGTGCCACGCTTTAAATAAAAATTCACTCACGAGTATCATGCGGCGGGAAAACCAAAAACGCGAAACTTCTAGGTGACAGTAAATACTTCCAGGAACGATATTTTGTGTGGTTGGTCAACTAAGAGGATAATTCTGAGTTCACTGCTGCAGTTTTTTCCCGTTCATATTCAGGGGGGGTCACCCGCCGCCCTGCTGTCTGGACCCTCTGTCCTTACCCAAACATCAGCGGTGAAAACCTGCTTGCCCTATGCATAGGGAGAGGGTTAGGGTTACCTCGACTTTGAGATCCTTCTGCGACGTGGCCTACGAAATGTGCCCAAGTCGTGGAACAAAATGGTTAATGCAATTCGTTTCCCCACAGGGGTCGGAGCGATCGTGAAGGTGACAGTGTCTGCGCAGGGTACCGTAGACGACACAAGATAACACACCCCGGTGATACTATTTTTGGCTTTAAAAATATTATCACCGGGTGTGGTATCCTGTGGGGGGTGTGTTATCTTATGTAGCCCGGGTGATAAAGTGCAGCTCGCTTGGGCCCTTAAGGGGGTGTGATAAACCAGGGTGCGTGATAGCACGTCCGAACACGCACAGGGTGTGTTTCGGGTGTGATAAAGGAGGGGGTAAGGGGTGTGTGCTAGCACGTCCGAATACCCACATGGTGTGTTTTGGGTGTGATAATGAGAGGGTGTGATGAAAAGGTGTTACATTATAACACTTCTTGTAGAGTTGAACCGCTGCTGCCGCACAGTTGGTATTGCGGGGGGGTGATAGCAATGCCTGTACGAACACTTCATGACTTGTGGTTCTGCGGAATGTGGTAAAACAAAGGAGCTCAACGGAGGTGATGAAACTCCTGAGCACATGACTCGGTGGCCACAGAGTGCGCCATCCATCCTGCCCCCTCACACAAAAAAGTAGGCTCCTGCATACCTTGCTATTGGGTACGACCAAAAGAGAGTTTCGCAGATGTAGTGTGTGTGAGATACCCACATGCCCACGCGGTAGAGGTTGTTATCACCCCGGTGATAGACGGAGGAGCCTGCGGCGTAACCTCAAGGGGTGTGTTATCTTATATAGCCCCGGTGATAAAACGATGGTTTGTCAGAAACGCCGAAAATTATCACCGGGGTGTCGTATTCTGTGGGGGGTGTGGTTTCTTATGTGGGTGTGTTATCTTGTGTCGTCGACGGGTATGTGGAACCTCAAAAAGCTGACACATCGCTTACAGTCTGAATTGGTCGGAGAGTTGTAGAAACACAGGTTGGTCTTGTAACACTAACGGATCCTTGC